GCGACAGGGGGGACTGTCCGCTGATTACGACGATGACAAACGACAGCGCGTGGGAATTACGAAATGAAGGTTTAATAAGGTATGAGCCGGATCGGGACCTGGCGGCCACCACCGCCGCCGCTGCCGTCGCCGCCGCCGCCACCGCCACGCGTTCCCTGCAGTAATTAACAAATCCAATTTTAATCGACGGTTCAATTCACGCTGCGTCCTGCCGGCCGGAAACGCACTCACGAGCACCGCGTCGTTCCGTACATGCAATCGTCATATCAGCGCGTAAAACTGATTAGCGGTTCCCCTCGCGACGCAATTATCTCGCGCCGCGCCGCGCCGGACGGGGCTCGTTCTCATTTTGTCGCGCGTAGTAAACGAAATAAGCGCGCAAACAAAATAAATTCCTTTGTCCGCAATCTACGCTTTTAGCTGGCGCACCGGAAACTCGGCTGATGATAATTAAAGCCGTCTATCGATTAGGCTATTTGCGTACTTCTCTAATTTGCAGGTCACATCAGTCATGATTATACGTACGAGTGATATACACTAAGGATATAAAAAAATTGTAATAAATCATATAACAAATTAAAATAATCAAAGAAAGATAATCAAAGAAGATATCACGCTTGTTATATTTGTATCGTAACAATCTTGAAGGCGAAATATTTTTTATAATTTAATGAAAAAGAAAAGATTGCGTCATTTTTATTAACTAAAGAATTACAGATATTAGAGAGATCCCCCTCTGATTGCGGACGAAAATTTATAATTCACCGAAAAGAAAACGGTAGCATCCCGGTATCCAGTTTATTTCACCGGCAGTGTTACATCCTAATAAAAAAATTCCGAAGCAGTATCATTTTTATCATCCATATTTCGCATTCCCACGCGAAAGGAAAACCTCGGGAACCGCAGTATCGCGATTTCCACGAATCGCGTCGTCCCCGAAAATCGCGATGCGAATTGGAACATCGTATCGCCCGCATCTGAATTTCCTGTGTTCGCGTACACATTGGCGTTCTGTGTACCATTCGAAAAGGGCTCAATCGAAAAATCGGCACAGTAACGCTCGAAACGACGTAGGCAAAGCGCACTGCGCCGCACGATTGCCGGATTGTAAAACAAAGCACAGCATTGCAACACGGGAGTGCAAGCATGCAGGTGCGAACGTTGATCGCGAATATTTTCACGTTTTTTTGTAGCTCGTTCGTGTACACGAACGCGCAAGCGTGTACGTTAAGTCCGCGTTGCATAAAACAATGTATAAAACTTCGTCCACTTATAATGCACGAAAATGATTTAGTAATGGCTGCTTTTTGTCTCATTTTTTCTCTGCTTTAAATCCGAAAAATAATATAAAATTAAAATTCTATTTTTTCTCGAATGCTGTATTATAATAATGGATACATGGATTTATATAACAATGGAATGTATAAACTAAAAATCTCTCTCTTTCATAATGCATATTTATTATTTATTTAAAGTATTGGACTTTTGAAATATTGAAGATAAAGGCTATTTTCCATACGCCCACACACCAACGTATATTCGTAATAATGCAGTTCACCTCCGTACCGCGCGTATACACGGTGACCGCTTTAATAGGGCACAAAGACGGATTAGCACACGCGGCACTCTAGGCGTCACGTGCACATGTGCGTAATTGTAGCGGCGCGTTAGTTGACGGACACATCGATGCACGATATATTTACGGTTTATTGCAGCGCGTTTACGGGCGGAATTACAGTCGGCGCTCGTTTTAATGGATGTCGAGATTGCGGCACCCGCACGACACTGCGCTCGTAATTTCGCATCGGTTCGGTAAATTATTAAATTCGATCGGTTTAACTATTGTCAGAATGGTGGGCTCGGCTCCGACACTAAGGCTACGTTATGCTCTATTAAGGTATGATCGATTATGGTTTGCGGCCACGTTGGCGACCGATCACGAACGGAACGGGCTAGATCCGCCAACTGCGGTTAAATTCGATCAAATGTACAATCGCGTCTCTTGCTTTTCAACATAAATGGTACAACGATTTACATTCATCATTTTATCACGGATAGCGACAAGAAGGAATTCTTTTTTGAATTGCTTAAAACGTGATGATTTCGAACTCGACATAGGAGAGATTGGCAAATGAGAGGAAAAATTTTTATAAAGTTTTAGCAATATGGATTAGCAATTTCTATAAATGATTTAAAAATTAATTAAATATCCATTGATACAAATATCCATAACTAAAAATATCTAAAAATATATTTTACAGAGTGCCACGTCTCCCGGCGCCAGTAACGATGGCCTCACGAAACAGCAGCTGGAGCTCATCCAGCAGATCATGCAACAAACGCAACAACAGCAACAGCAAGCAACCACGCAACAGCAACAACAGCAGCAGCAGCAGCAACGGACTGCGACCCCCTCGACAGCGGTAGCCACACAAATACAAAAGACACAAAAACCGTCCATCAAATCCACCGCGTCGCCCGGCAATATTTCCAATAATTCCGCAAGCGCAAACGCGACCAGCAATGCGAGATCGAGTCCGAAGCCGAAGATGTGGAATCACTCGCAGGTAAGTGCAACATCGTAAATGAAAAGAATATTTTAAATGTTTTCTAATGTTGTAATTAAGTTTTCGTTTGCCGAGTGTGATACGGAAAGTTGCGTTGAGGAGAATTATTGAGTAAGACGATGGGAATGGAAAATGCGATATCAATTGCTACCCATAATCGTACTTTTTTTCCGATAGTAATACGAAAAGACTCCAGAGTTAGACATCAATGCCATCAGTATTTATTTTAAAAAACATGAAGAATAATTATACTTTATATAAATAGAACGTAATTAATTCCTTCTTCATTTCTGTGAGACGCGCATAAATTGAAATTAAACCGTTCATTATAAAAATAAAACTAAAATATATTACGATGCAAAATAAAGAATAACAAACAACTATTAATCGCTATTAATATTAATCAATCATTTCGACGCGATATCAAATCAAATTGCCTTAATTATATCCATCGAAGCAAATCTCGTCGATGAATATTCCGATTGCGATGCACTTGGATTACATCCTGTATGATTTTATTACGTGTCGCGTAACGAGAGATCCCGAGATAGCGCCGAAAGCAATAAACCCCCGTAGTACCTCCAGACTGCTTTCTGTTGAAAGGGCCCTTCTTCCGCATTAGGAAGCGGAAGTATTACCGAGCGTACCCAAGATCCCGTGCGCACGGCTCGTTGGAACTCGCCGCGGTAATCTTTTGTGCGGCGAATACACCGCAAATCGCATTACGTATCGCGGCCTGGGCGGATACTATTCCGGGTACTCGTAATCCTGTCGACGAGGACTCGTCGAATATTATACGGAAACGCGAAACAGCGAGATATCGCGCGCGTGACCCTTTGTGCGGGATCCTGTTCATTTTCTCGTTGAGAAATACGAAGCACAATCGGATGAAACGATAGGCAGACGGGATATCCTTTCGAGAGCCTGAGTATTTATATGCTACTTATATGTACTGAATGTCATATATAAATATAAAAAAAATTCGAAATAATTCTGTGATACCAGAAGAAAATGTATTTCACTTTTGAATAGGTATTGAAATGTTTTTTTCTATCGATTTTATTAGAATCGATATAAATATTTTCGCGAAAGTATTTTCGCCACAATTTTTCCACTGAATTGAATTGATCGCCCCCTGCTCTTTCACGGGGTAAATCCTGCGCGGTGTTAAAATAGTGGTCGAGCCGGTTTTGCGAACGGGTCTTCGGGAGCCGTTCAGAGGCGAAGCATTCGCCAGCGCGGAGAATTAAATCCGTCATCGAGAGCTACATAGCACGACTTAATCTGCCGTCGTTGAATCACGCGGTGTTCGCTTGACAAAATCGCGCGAATCGCTAATTGGTCTCGCTCGCTTTCCTTTATATCCCTGTCCTTCCGGCGGTGGTCCGAATCTTCAGCGATCAAAAGGACGACGACGCCGTGAAAAGGAGCCTTTGAGCAGATCCTTTCACGGTTCGGCGCATCGAACGCTGCAGAATTTTCTTCTGACGTTCTTCGTGTCGTACGTCGGAGAAAGGCGCGTGATTAGCGTGGAGAATCGTAGCCGGAAGTCCAGTCGAATGTCCCTTGCTTTCGACAAGTTCAGAAAACCCATTGTGTATCGTTTAAAGTGAAAGAAAATAAGTTAGAAAATAACTTTATCTCGCTGAATTTGTTGAATTACGCGATTACTTTTTCAACACGTTGTCATTAATGACACCTAAAAAAGTTTCTACCCTGGAGTTTTCTCCCGTCATTATTGGATGTCTACGCGAGCGAAGCAGTTGTATAGCCTATTATTAAGCGTTGATATGATGAATATTAATTGGCGAGATTCCGTATGTATCGAATATTGGCACAAGGAACTCGTCTCTCCAATGTACAAACATATCAACCGTATGTCCAACGCGTCAGCTGCATCGACCTGGTAATAGCACGATTGAACGTCCCTAGCCTGTCTATAAACCGTTTACTGTCGTTTATTGAATCATGCATAAAAGACGATTACAGCTCACGTCCGGAGGCTGTACTTGGTCGAGAGTTTTATACATTCACGCTGTATGGAATGGCTCGAGCTAGCGTACGGTAGATTATTGTACAATTATATGTACATTTCATGATGGTAATAGACAATTAAAATATTTTAATTATTGATCGAATCACGTTACGATCGATATATATAAGGCCAAATATTAATGATTAAATTATTGACTGGAAACGCTCGTAAACCCTAATGGTTAATAACCACGTAATGGTTGGTAACTATAATGGTTAATTATAGCTTAGAATTATAACACCTCCGACTCTATAATTACGCTCATCGGCCGCCCATCGATCGCCGCGTTCGACGCAAGAAAACGTACGCGCAGTTCATCATCGAAGATTCCCGCTCGCCTGTATTTCAGCGCGTTTTTCCGCGACGGGACCCGGCCGCCGCCAACACCCCGGTGGCACCTCTCCGCCACCTAACTTCATTACGTTAATGGCATAATAACCATTGCGGGCGGCCCGAAGAGCTTATGCGCCGGAACGTCGATGTCCCTAAACACAGCAAGAAGCGAGCGCGCAGTAAAATCGATCCGATCTCCATTAATATGTATGAGGTCTTCGCCAATGGACGCGGAAGGGATGAAGGGGGACGGCCGGGGGAAACGAGACCGGGGATTCGTACTCTTCTTGCCATCCTCCCTCTCCCTCCTCCTGCGTCGAGGTGGCGACGCCGAACTGCGGGCGATCGCGAAATGCTCTCGGAAACTGTCGTAATTGCTTAGGAACTCGAGGACGAACGGATTCTTCGGGATCTACATCGCGATGAAATGGAACGGCGTGAGGGGGAGGGAGGAGGGGGATCTTGCATATAGAGCGAACTCGGCAAACTCGATTTAATTGCGATCCCTTATACAATTACGTTATGGTCGCGAGCGTTAGCATCGCATCCGATCGCACAATGAAAATTCGCGTGTATATGCCGAATCGTGGTTCGAGGATACATATCGCGTATTCAGAAAATTCACGTTAGCGCTTCTATTTGCATATTTATCGAAGACGCATTATTCGGACGTGTACGCCAGTACACGTCTGAAGGATCTCGTCGCGAGATGAGAAAGTTATTCGTCGCCGTCGGTAATGCAAGGTAGACATTAAAGACGAGCGCAAAGTGCGCCGTTAAATTATATTTAGCCTTCTTGTGTCACTTTGATATCGTAAACACGTCCCGGCCATTATCCGCCAACTTTATATTGCGGCGCGGGAATATTCATCGTATTTCCCTGATATATTTATGATCCGTTACGCGATCCTAGACGGTCCGGCTACAAATATACACGCGCAGCGACGGCAAAGATCCGCGAGGGTCTATACCGAGCTATCACCAGGAGCAACGACATTTCGTCATTACGTCATCTTATTCCCGCCTTGTTCGACGGCGAAACGTCTTTTTTATTACGCGCGAAGAGAGGCAATAAACGTAGTTACAACTTACGCAGTCGCAACGATTTACATCTCGGCTTACTCCGACGCTATTACCCACGTAGCTAACAGGTATTCACCCGCACGCGCACACGTTTGGATCCCCCCGTTACGAATATCGATGACGACCGTATTTGCGAGAGAGGGCGAACACGACGACGCCATCGTGTATTCGTGACACATTCCGAGCGCGTGCATAATGCGCGATCACCGTGTTCCACGTGAAATATATACGGTCGCGATTACGGGGACCCAACTACTAATCCGATTATATTTAGCCTTCTTATGCCGCCCCGATATCGTGAACATGCCCGCTAACTCGTGGCACTAAATTCACCCGTGCGTCCTCCCTTCACGTCTCGCGATCAGCGTCGCGCACGCGGACGAACGCGCGGCGCTGATCGCGAAAGAAGGTCGCGAGATTTCGCGTGGCATTACTTTGAATTTATTATATGTTTTCGCTGCATCGAGCGGGTGAACGTGGAACTCGGTCGCATGTCGCAAACACAACAGCGCGAAAGGCCTCTCAGCCTCTCCCTGGCAGTCGAGTCACTGCCGCGAAATAGTGCGATCTCGTGTACATACAATCGCTTTGGCATAGCGGCACACTCGAGTGCCCTGCATGTCACGTCGTGTTATACGTTAGATTTGCACCGTTACGGCCGCATCAGGACTCCCTTTTACGAGCGCCTGTTTAACTATATTGCAGTCTAAAGTTAAGGTAAATTAATATAAACCGTATTAAGCCGGATCTAGTGACGTTAAATGAAAATTTATAGTGCACGGTTATAAGACGAAATAGTGAAGACTCGATGTACACTGAGAGAAAAGATATACTAATGGTAACAAAAACAGAGAATTATTCACAAAAGTCAAGTTTTATTCTAAAATTTTGTTAAAATAGCAAAATATATAATTAAATAAGCAAAATTTGGTATAACTTTTGTATTTAACAACACAATTTTATTTGGTTACTCACATTTTGTACACAGTAATATAAAATTGGGTTGCAATTACAAAATAAGTTTTCTTTTAGTAAGTTCAACAAAATAATGTAATTATTTTGGTAATTTTATTCAATAAATTCAACGAATTAATATCGACGTGTTAGTTTAGTTGGTCACATATCAACACATAGTTTTGGTATCAGTAACAAAATTTTGTTCATACTAAACTTTTTTCTCAGTGTAGGACATTTTTTTTTAAATTAGATAGTTAATTAGATCCTTTGTTATATTCGTTTAGACTTTATTTTCTGATATGTTCTATATTTGTTACCTTTATTTACTGCTAAGAATATCGGTATACGGCTCGATAGAATAAATAACGACCAATCAAGAGTGTGTCAACTACATTTGGTGTTTTACGTGTTTTTCAAGCCGTGTAGCACTAAATGCGATGTGTTCTCTCCGAATATATCCAGCGATATCAAACCGGTACGACGTCATAACTGTATAACTGCCGAGTTATAACCCTGGCCTCGAGCTTCTCTCTCTCTCTCTCCCTCTCTCTCCCCTCCCGCCCCCTTTCTCTCTCGGCTGCTACTTGTTACTTACGTAAATATTCACATAACGCGTACATGTTCTGGAGACTCTGGTTCATTACGTTTACGAGGTGACACGCATATTAAATGCAAGCATATTAAACGCGGCGTGCATTCATATTAGTTTAACGTGGCTGAAGTGTGTCAAATGTGTGTGACACTTATTCTCCGAATAAACGGAAATACGGGACATTCGCGAAACGAATAGCTCTGACTTTCTACAGTAGGTATATCTACGTATATCTACTTGAGATAAATGTTTAAGAAAAACCAAGAGAAAGAATTCTCGAATTCTGTAACGACGAAAAGGGACAAAAGCGGCTGCCCGGGGGTGCGCGATCGATAGATGTCGTTAATATGTATGGATTCTCTTTGGTGGAGGGGATTCGGATCGGGGGCGAAAGTTTTCCCTTCTAAATAAATCAATGATAATAATAAATGAAGCGCGTGACGCGGACTAGTTGACGAAGCTCGTGTCGCATCGTGCATCCATAAAAACGACTCGTAATAAACTAGGCAGACGATTCGACATAACGACCGTGTTCTCTGTGATCGTAAAAGGAAGTTTGTTCTCGGTAACAAGGAGTCCTGAAATTAATATGATCAGATATATATTCTCCGATGCTTACGTATAACGATAATCGAGAAAATGTAATGAGTATAATCTCCATCGAACGCGGAAACTTCGCAAAGTGCTCGC